CGCTAATATAAAAACTTCGTTTGAGTCACCGCCGGTCGTTAAATTCGTGAATTTGCCAACATGACCAAACTGAACTTCCGACTTTTTTCTACCAGTTTTGGATTGATACGATATTAATTGTAAAACCTCTGCCACCAACGGCCTCGCCTTAATCAGCTGAAATCACATTTTCTTTATCAATACTTTAGCCGAGCTTATAGCATAACTGGACAACATATATTGGAAAACCTCAGAAAACCTCATAAACTCTCTTTACCCGTTTTGGGTTGATGTTATATAAATTAGGACGTATTGGCCATAGGCAATCTATACTTAATCGGCTGAAATCATATGTTCTTCAGTAATACTTTAAACGAGCTCATAGTGGCCAACATATATTAGAACGTCTCGGCCACAAGCGACCTCAGCTAAAATTTAGACAGAGTGTGTAGGATGTTATTGATTAAAGGAAATCCATTTAGAACCTTCAAAAAACTTTTTTTTTCATAAATAGATTCTTACACATCTTAAGAATGTGATACTAAAACATTACAGCAAAATTCCAAGTATTTCTGGATTAATCGCTGCTTTCCTTCAAGCGCACTCTTGGCTAATTCTTTGAAAAACTGTTTTCCTCAAAATATTCAACTTGAGAAAACATGAGAAAAACACATAAGTCTGAAGGGAAAAGAAAATTAACAGATGCTCTAATAACAAAACTGAGTACATATTATGGCCGGGCTACTCGCAAAAATATAGATAGTACAGAGAATATGAATAAAGCGATAACGGCCACTTATTATTACATATGCTCATCAGTACTACATCCAAATCATCAGTACTATCCACTAGCATCTGAGAGGTGGTGCAAGTGGCAAAAAGCTAAAGGAACTGGATCGGATAGTTTAGTGAAGTATCCTTTACCACGTCATTCAGATGTACAAAAAATGTACTGTCAATTTATAAAGATCTATCTCAAGATAATTTGCTCAAAGCACATAGATTCCGGTTTAATTTCTGTTTTTATTCCGGCTAGCCTGTTTAATGAAGGGCACAGTGTCATTTTAGAAGTAATGATTCATTGAATATGGTTATTGGCATATAAACAAAAAAGTTCATTCTATTATTAAGAAATGGAAGGTTTATTGTACAATTGCAAACTAGGCGGTAAGTTTGGAAATTGAAAAAAATCTATTTTTACAATTTGAAACTTTAAACGCAATTTCGCAAAACTATGTTTTTACAACTCTTATGGGTTAATTAGTTTTTATTGTATTAATTAGCAAAAATTAATAAAAAATTAATTGAAACTCATATTATGTAAGGTTAGTTTGGTTTACAGCTAAGGAAGGTTATGCATGGATAGTTTTCATTACAAATGTCAATCAATCCAAGAAAGAATGTTGGGTAAGGTAAGTTTTCTTTTGAACTGTCAATTATCCCGAAAAAGAATGTTGAATAAGGCTAGTTTTCTTTTGTAATGTCAATCGTCGTAACAATTTAACAATTTGAGTACCGTTTTTTAATTTTATGCGAATATGCACATATTTTTTATGAATACTATAATACTGATAATAGGACATAAAAGGTACTAGTATTGCCTACATGTTAGTATATTTATTAATATTCAAAATATGATTTAGAATGCAAAGAAATACATTTAAAAATTTGTGTTTTTGGTCCAATCAAGGCCAGTCAATCAAAGTCCAAGGCAATCAGCCCTAGTTGGATCATTACATACCGTTAATACAATCATATTTCTTGACATTTGGGCTCACTTCAGCACATTTTGTGTGCACCCAAATATGACATTTGATACACCGAATCATGATGCATTCCAAATTTTGTTTGTTTTTTTTGTTTAAAAGATTTTTCTTGCTTGTTATTAATGTAGCTTTCTGGGCAATTTCTCTAGATCGAGAAGATGATGGTCATAACATCGATATTGGCTCCGACTCAGTACTTGGTTTAGGCTGCAAAATATCTGATGGTGTTAATTGGCTATCTTTAAAGACATGTCGATTAACAGGCCAAATACAAGAGGCACGGAAAGCATTCTTGGCAGCTGCAACCGTAATTGCTTTCCCATATGCTTTTCCCTTTACATTGACGAAGTTTCTTGTGCCTGAGTAAAATAAATTTGTAATGTGCCAAAGAAAGCAACGTCTAAAGGTTGCAAACGATGAGTAGTGTGTCCAGGCAACTGTGCAAAACAACATGCATCCAAATTTCTGCTGTGCGTGGTATGTCTATCTAGTAATAAAAGTAACTTCTTGTTATTGCTACAATTGACGTGATGTTCAAAATGTTTCAACCAGGTAACGAACAATTCGGAATTTATGTAGCCGCTTTCTTTTAAAAATTATCATTGGAGGGACATAAACTCCAGCTGCACTGACCGCGCAGACCATAGTTGTATTAACTCCGCTTTCGTGTTTTTACTACACGAAACTTTAATCGCAATTTTTTCAAAACTACGTTTTTACATTTTATAACTCTTGGACACGATATCTCAAAAACTACTCGACTAATATTCCTAAAATTTGTGTTTTCAGAAAATATTAATGTTAACGTTTGAGTCTTAAAGAGATATTGAACGCAACAATGCGTTTTTGAGGATTTGAGTAAATCACCAGATAAAATGATAATATTCAAAAAAACATGGAATTATTAATATTATTGTTTCTTATGGTTAAGTCTCATGTTTTCATATAAGAAAATGCATTTTATATCAAATTAAAGTTTAATCTTTCCTCTTTCATAAAACATATAAAACGTTGCTAAAAATTAATATAAATTTTATTAAATTTCAGCTGTGGTTCGTTCATGTAAATTCTCTTGGACATGTAAATCTATGAATTTATTAATAGAATTATTATAATAATAATTCCACGATGGCTTACCCCCGGATTAAAGCACAAAATTAGTCAAAGTTAGGAATTTGGTATCAGAACGGTTTCGGGTTCGTATTCCAACATAGCAACTCCCCTTTCTATTCATAGCTATAAATTTGCCAACATTTAGAAATAGTTCAAGTTATCACTAAATATGTAATATCGAAATTCTCACCTTGATCAACTAAATTAATTTTTATTTAATTTGCTTAATCGTATTGAAATTGTAAATCAGTTAATAATGAACACAAAATTTTGCATAATTAAAGAATGCGCAGATACATTATTCGTAAAAAAGTACACGGTTAATTAAAACTGTAACATCGTAGTGTGGCGCGACGCAATAAATAATCCGCGGTTAGATGTACCACGTTGGCCTACAGTTGGTAAACTAGAACTCTGTAAATAATTGACTGGCATCAATATTCATGCTGGGGGCGTGTGCATTAAGGTCCGCGACCTTTAATTATCGCGGACGATGAATAATTTACAGGGAGGGCTTTATCTACCGTGTAAATTTGCTTTTTTATCCCACGCCGCCCGGAATAAATTTCATAGAAATTTCAGCTCGAAATATCTCGCTTTCTTTCGAGCTGAAATTTATGGAATTGAAACTAAACTTGCGAATAGTTTTATTCTGGAAACTATAAACTTTACGATATTCATTAAGGAAATTTATATCTTATTTTAGGATAAATTGCTTTAAAATTTATCAAGAGGTAAAATGTTATTGATGTAACGGGCTTCGTTCACTGAACTGCAGAAAAATGCATTTTCGAAGAGCTTCAACATTACTGACAGATTTCCCTTATGCCACTACCTCAAAATATAATAATGAAATGTATGTAGGAAGGCGAGGATAAAACGCTTACCACATAATTTCCCTTGGCAATTTTAAAATTCACGGACAACGGAATTACTTCGAGCATGGTTTATGGTTTACCGAACGGCCGCAGGCCGGAGTTTTCCAGGCAAAAGCTTAGTAAAGAGAGGATTCTCATAAAGGCGCGAAAGTAGAAATTTCCTTCGTAAATTAACTAATTCCGAACAACAGGTGTCGGTATCCGGGAGGTTGTCGAAAATGACACTCCATTATCACGGGATTAGTCCTTTATCGTGCTTTTTCAGCCCGCTCGGACGATGTATGTCTCGCATTATTTGTCGTAAGCCTGAAATATGACCGCGAAATTTCAAGCTCACGCGCACAGCGCAGACAGCAAGTACGTTCATTCTTGACATAGATTAACGAGGAGACTTTTTATTAGATAACCAACTGACGCGACGTTAACTGTACCACGCTTACAGCTTGTAATCTTTAATCTACATGGTTAGAAAATAAATTGGCAGTTGGTTTTACATAAATCAACGTCTTGATATGACAAGTTTTAGCTTGTAAATTCTCGTTTAATCAACGTGTTGATTTATATATGTATATGTTTTTGTAATTGATAGAAAAGTTATTATATAGTTAAGTGTTCAGTTATATAGGACTTTACATACGTAAGTGGAAATGCCCAATTTGAAATCTATTTCGAATTCCGCTAAAACCACAAAGCATTGCGACAGTACACGAAAATAACACAAAAATAACCTTTTAGGTGGTCATAAGTCATAACTCATACCCGTAAATATAAAAGTTGTGGCACACTTGCTATTTTACAGTTTTGCTTTCAGCTGCATAAATATGAAGAAAAAGTCGAAAAGGTGAACATTAGATGAAATCGGGGTTTTACATATTGTTGTTGGTAGAACACAGAATTCGGAACGTTTTAGAAAAAAAGCTTGAATATATAACTTGTAGAAAACTTTAACCGTAACAATATTGCTCTTTTACACTTTTGCTCTCAGATTCATAAATATCGAGAAAAATTCATATAGGTGAAATCGTAGTTCACTTGTTGTTGGTAAAGCACGGGATTCGAAACGTTTTAGAAAAAAAGTTTTCGTGATTTTACATCTTGTTGTTGGTAGAGCTCGGAATTCGGAACCTGAAGGTGAAAAAGCCCGATCTCATAATTCGCTAATATTGTTCTTATATGTAAAATCTAATCTAATTGAGGTCTAGAAAAAATGTAGTCTAACTTTGCATAGGTTACTTTTGATATTTATTATTTAAATTGTACTTACCATTTAGGATGTGAACGTATGTGCTTGCAGGTTGAGCGTTGCTTGGCACGCAAGAATAGTTACCAGAATGTCTAGTTGCGGCACTACTTATTGACAATGTACTCGTCTTCGCTGAGAGTTCGGTCTTTACGTTAATACCCCTGTCTGTGTCGAAATTAATCATTCGGTTATTATGGTACCAAAATACGTAACTTGGAGGTTCGGTGCTTTGCAAAACTACACACTGCAAATTCAAACCCGAACCGGGTTTCAGATATTTTTCCGATGGCCCGGAAATTTCAGCTTTTGCCTCTGAAAGAAAAAGAAAAGAAAGCATAAAAGAAAAGAATTATTAATCAATACAGTTTCTTTTGTTCATTAAGATTTTTAATTAAATTATAATTTGAAATGTTCGAGTTAAATCGAATCGATTCTTTTTCTTTTCTTTGTTGTAAAAGTAAGGAAAGAATTTTGTAATAGGAAAAATTTTCGTTTCCACGTGCCAGAACCGTTTGTTTCAATAAGATCGCGGAACATTATGGAGTGAATTAATGGTATTCAGAGTAGAGCCGTTGGGAAGAATTGTGGCATAACTTCCAGTTCGAAATGCAGAGTTATTGAATATCTTTCAACTACGTCGACTTTATTTCCATACGGGAAATAGCTTTCAACGGCATCACCTTCCGTTCGACAGTAAAATCTACTTTGCCTCGCGCTATTTTCTCCGTCAAAGTAATAGACCTGTGTTTATGAAGTTTACCTAACATAAAATGGAAGCCCGCTTATTATTCTAAAAGAAGTTACAAAGACTTTGTATTCAAACTTTATTTATGTTTAAAATAGAAATCAGAATCGTAATTTCAACAACGAAACAAGTTTCAAAACTACTATTTAATGCAGTAGTTTTGTATAATAACACCATTTACTACAGCATTAGGGAACCATTACCGTGTCCAATATTTAAGCGTAATATAATTATTTATGTTTACCAAACTTGGATTATCCGATGCAATGTCACAAAAACGTGTGTATAATAGGAGTATCATTACATTAACTTGCGATAATGATAATTTTATGCATTATTTCACTCTGAAATATTTAATTTCAATTTAATGAAAACCCCATTTTGTACCATTCAATTTACCAAAGGTAATTTTAAAAAGTCCGGAGTACAAGTAACGCTTACGGTAATGTTATGTATCACGAATGTCATTAAGTATTATTATTCAGGGAGCGATTTAACGACAGCCATACGTAATCGTGTGATTATAATCCACGAACATGGAAAATTACGACGGCTTATGATCGCAAATTCGGCGAACTCATGAATATACACAAGTTTTGCATTGTATATGGATGTCAATTAAAGCCTATTGTTCGTTGTTTGGCTGTGGAACATAAGCTCCTTTCACTGACAAAATAACAAACGGATTTAGTTTATTGGCGCGGAGCTTTTTATATTTCCAATTAGTTGACACTACGGTATTCATACAAAAACTACGTTTTTGGGGTTGGAATTGATGAAATATAAATAATGATTTAAATGGAAATAAAGATAAAAGGTAAATAAAATATTTTGGTTGTGTTAACAGATCAAACAAAAAATAAATTTGTTTTGAAAACTATTTAATGGTGAATGAACAAAGTTGTTTAGCGTAATGTTAACAATAATTTGATACAATTTTCATAAAACCTTTACAAGTTGGATAAAAAAATTACAAATATTGATCATATTAAATATCATGTTAAATGGATTTTAAATCCAGAGAAACTTTTCTTAGATGCCTATTTCAATGGACGACATTTTCAAAAATCTGGTTCAATATAGGACTCAGATGCCATCGCATACTTGGCGATTTGTTTCGAAATAGCAGCCAAACCCAGAGTGAGCTTCACCAACGCATTTAGTCCAAATCAAATTATTTTTAGATATTGATCAAGAATCCCGAACAAATTATGAGTCTTCACTCTCATAAGGTAGCCCTTCTGTAAGCTACCTTGTGAGATGCTAGCAAATAGTTGTTTGGTATTGATGTAGTTTCAATAGTTTTGAAAAATATATTTTTTTATTGTTTTATTTATTGGTATTCCTTGGCACAAAAATCACGAGGTTTGTAAACCATGCTGTGGCTCAATTGCCTCAATTTACATGGAAATACACTTCCTTACCAAAAGTTCATCATACACAGTACACGTTGTGATTTTTCTTCACCATTTTCGTTGATATAAAACCAACCACATAATAACTATCATATTTACGATACGGTTATCATTTCAAAATCTGATCCATCATTAATAATACAAGAACTATGCTTAAATTATAATATTTCCTTATACATATTCATTCTACAAGATTGTCCACCATTAATCCGATCAGCATTAATTAATTGATAGAGGTTCTATAAATTTATTAATAATCCTTCGAATTTTATTTGATCGTATAACACAATTTTTTCAAACAAAGAATAAATCGTTATCATCAAGCTCCGCAGTAATCTCAAGTCTCCCTCTTATCTTGATAGGATTCTTAACCTTTTCGGTATTCTTAAATTCTTTAATAACATAGTAGACATGTTGAGTTTGCAACTCCTACAATGATAAAGCATTGTTATTTAGTTTGGTATAACGTTGAAAACAATTAATTTTCGTTATTAATTGTAAAGATTTAGAATAGATTGCTTTTTTGATAAAGCTAAGTATTCTAAATTCATCCAACAGCTTACGGTATCTTAAGGTAAAGGTCACGTTAGGGTCAATGAATACAAGTTAACCTTCACTTCTATTAGCGAATTGACAAACCTCCTCCTGGAATCTAAAGGTCAAAGTTTAGCGGTGTCTCACAGTTTCTATCAAATTCATCTTCTTCGGGCAAACCTGACAATTTTAAGACTTTAAAAAACAAATTAAATTACAACTTCAAAGACAATATGAACAACAGGGTAACCACATTGGGAGAACCTTGTTCACAATTTCTGATGGAATATCCACACAAAATCAACACCATCTGTTCCGCTGTTTGGATTGGATTTATTTTATCAAAGAGAATGATTCAACCACGTTCCACCTTCAGACCAGGCCACTAAGGGAAGGGAAGAAATAAGCAACCCACATGAATAAAACGAGATACAAGTCGGTCTGGTGTTATCACTACTCCGCATGTATGTCTGACGGAATAATTGGCCCCTCACATCCCCATTCAGTCGCTAAAATAAAAATAGCAACTCAACGGACCATGAAATTAATTCTACAATTCTTGCCTTCGCCTGTTTATCCACCTTAGTCTGATAATATCACCAGATTTATTTTTAGCATGGTATATAGATCTGCTAGACCTCTCACTTAAAAAGAAATTGAAAATATCATTGAAAACGTGTCTGATTTAAAAGCAGACGAAAATTAATTTTCTTCTAATATAGAAAAAATTTAGTAATAGAATACTTCAGAAATGATTAATAATTCAATGCCTCTATTCTGTCTTAAAAAAAATTAAAGCAAACTATCGAAGTGGTACCAGTGGAACAAGCAGTAGTTTGGGAGAATGTGAAAATATAGAGTACGAAATATCAGCACCAGCTGATATTGACAATATCAACACAATAATGAAGAACAAGCTATTTGATAATGTACAGAGAAGCAACATGTTTCCGGACTGAAGATGTACCGATTAAACTGCGTGGAAATAAAGGTTAGTGGTAAGTGGAGTGTTAAATCAGAAAAAAAGACGTTACGAACCACTACTAGAAGATGCTCCTGATGTCTCTAGTGGATCAGAAGCAAAACCGCTGCTTTTCACGGAAGATATTTGCCCCACCCACAAATTAAGAAGTTTTGGTTCAAAGATTTGGTGCAAACGATTGCTCCAATGTTGATGAGTGTGTAGCAAATGAAAGTTCATCCATGGACTAGAGATAAGAAGCAAAAATAGTTTATGAAAAGAATGCATGAATCCCATTTTTTCGTTTTACCATGAGATAAGAGTTCAATTTAGTTTTTCATAAATTCTCTCCGATTTGGTAATATGTTGTGTATGGACAGAACGGCGAAATAAAGGTATTCAGGGAACGGTGTACTTTCAAAATTTATAAACTTTAAAACACTCAAGGTTTGATGCTGAATATCAATATATTCAAGATATTCCTTAAATGTTAACATAGACCATTGGTTTACATCAACTGATTCTGCTAGAAAGCTTCAAGACAATCATCCTGCAACCATAGTTGGAGCTTTGAAGAAAAAGAAAACTGAAATACCACGGTCATTTATTTAGGGGAATGAATAAAACAAGAATACTGCTATGTTTGCTATCAAAAATATTACTGGTATATTTTCTTCTTGTTCTCCAAATTCAAAGCAAAAAGAAATTGTTCTTCTGTTACTACAATAAAGGTGATACAGCGAATTCGACGAAATCATCAATTGTTACAATAAAACTTGCCATCAATTGATTCATCGTTATTTCGTTGTAAGGAAAACAAGACTTTGGCCATTTGATTTACAACATTCTACATTCAGTTGAAATAAATTCAAATATTCTTTGTGGGATTCTAGCGATGAAGCAAATGAAGTCAAAACGCCTACAAATACCTACTTAAAATTCCGACCCATTATTCAGGGCATATTAAACTTGCAATCAGAAACTAGTATTATACCTAAACTGCCATCATTCTGTAAATGTCGTTCTCTCCCAGAAAAAAAGATCTTCGCAAATCGCGGATTTTATCTAAAACGTGTGATAAGTTTGCGCTGAGTAAACTGCTTCGATCACCTCGCCAGCAGCCAGCTCTATAACAGTTGGAACACCTTACTTATTTGCTTTTATCGCCAACTTCTTGCTTGAGGTCTAGTGCAGGCCTACGACTTCTGTTCAACAATTTTTTATATAAATAGGCCCGTGAGGCAGCGGATGAGAAAATTACCAGCAGGGAGGATAATTTCCTGCTTGGTGTGTACAGATGGAACAGCGGTTATGATTCCACATCTTTTTCCATGTCCTTGTGAAAATCTAGCAGGTGTGTAAATCGCATGTTCTGTTTGATCTCTGTATACAGCAAATATACAAAATTACGTAACGATAACATACAAAAGATATGGTACTAGGTATACTACTAGTACTTGCATTTAGTCTAAACAATAGTGTAAATAATAGTACTGCATGTAGTTTCTCAATACTTATGAGATTTGCATTTAATTAGTCCTGAAACCGAACAACTGATAAACAATGTCTGAAACAAAACGAACGTTATGTAAACAACTGAATATTTACAAAATACGTAGTCTTGTTATGAATCGAAACTTCCAAGTAGGGGTTGGCG